AATGAAAATGAAGGCATCAACACAGAAACATTACATTCTATAAAAGGTAAAAAAACCCAAGTTGCTAACATGTTTTTAAGTCTAATATGAGCCATTCCTTACCATACTTTTGTGATCCAGCAAAGAAAGAACGTGTAAGAACAAAGGGTCTCTCCTTCCCTTCAGATCGTTGTATCAGTCCTTCTGCAGTAGCCATTTGCTGTTAACACCAAACAAGACAAATTTCAAAGAGATGATTGGATTTGTACAGACATCCCCAATAAGCTATCTAAAATACAAAAAGCAAACAGCAGGCAGGAGTGTGAAATGGAAAATATTAAAATAAATCCATAAAATAGTTTTTGTGGCATAATGAGACTACTCCAAATTCTCCTATTAAAAGAATGGAAAATTTTCTTTGGTTAGCAATAGCAATGAAACAATAATAAACAATCAGCTAGCATTTCTTTAGTGCTCACTATTGCTAGGCACTTAATACAATTTTCTCATATAGTCTACATAACAACCTCTGAGACAGATGGTTTTCACTGGTAGGAAAAACTGAGATTCAGAGAGGTTAAATGACTGGTCCTGAACTAAATAAGAAAGTTCACTAACTAAAGCAGTCTATAGTTATTGCAACAGGCTGTTAAAGATACAAACACATTACTATCTGAAAACTGTGCTTATATTTAGCCAGCAGCTCCCATTGGAAAATACCAATAGGCAAGAGGGCCACAGGAATATGGTCACAATTTGAAAATAACGAAGAACCATGCATATATATGACAGAAAGTGTCTGCCAAGTCTTTGGGATGCAGTTGGTAAGTGAAAGGTAATTTTATCAACTTTATTGAGAAAACTAAGTACTTAAGGAAGGCTTTACATTTTTAAAGTATACGTATTGAAATTATATGTCTGTGCTCTAAATCTTGCTCCTCCAGTGTGACTATAAGACTTGCTGTATTTAGATATTTGTGAAATCTTAAAACACTTGTTTTAATTACGTTCATTCACATATTTATATACTGCTTGCATCAATAAAAGTTTGAGCCAGTGAGTGCCACTTATTAATGGCTACTATCAAGGCAGTGGTTTTTATGTTATAAATTTCATAATATTTAAAAGTTCATCCAGTTCATCATGAAAAGAAAAAAAAGCAAAGGGAGAAATAATAAAAAGTCTTGTATTGGCTACTACCTAAGACTCATTGCAGTCGTCAGAAAAGACATACAAAGAGAAATGAACAGTAGAGCACAGCTATGATTTTACAAAGCAAATGACTTTAAGCCAAAAGGCAGGTCACATGAGCCCAGTTCTTTCTGGATGTCTTACGTGATAAAAACCGTAGATGTTGTGGAGTTCTCTGTGCTCCCAATTGCCATGATGAATGGCATTCTTCTGCATGGTTTGTTCTGGCCCTCTAAAGACAGAGGGCTCATTCATGTCATTCCAAAGGAAGAGGATGTCCGTAGATCCCTAGGAAGTAAACCTTGGTCATAATGACACTCCTACATTGATGATATCTATATAATAGCTGTCACCATTCCACTTTCCTACCTCATTTTAAAAATTATGTTTATTATCTATGCTTTGTCCTCTGCTTCACTGCTAGAGTATAAGTTCCACAAGGCATGACATTTTGTCTGTTTTGTTCATTAATAAATCCCAAACATCTAGGATAGAATAGCACCTGGTCCATAGAAAGATCTCAACAAATATTTGCTGATGAATAAAAAATGCTGCCCTATGTTGTCTGTGAAATATATATTGCCTGGCAAGTTCATTCCAAGACCTCCCAGCAGGACCCCTATGGGAAAGGTTGTGAATATTCATACTTAGGCTCTTTCTCATGCATCATATGCCACGACTCTTAACTAAGGGCAACTATAGCTGAACATGACAAGATTCTATTTTCTCTCTAATACTTTGAAAGACTTGACAGCCAATATACCTGCTTGTTAACATGATCTATAGTTTGTATTCTACACAGAATTGTTCAATTTAAGAGTGGGAAGGGACAGTTGAGTCATCTAGTTAACACGGCATTGCAGAATCCCTGGTCTTTTCTAGAATCCCTGATCTTTCGGCATTTGACTGAATAGCTAAAAAGACAGAGAGTCCCTCAGGCAGCTCATTCCACTATTTTCCAGAAGTCCTGCTCCTTGTAACACTCCCCTCACAGAGCCTACCTAGCTTGCCTTCTGGGACTCCATGGAATACATCTGTCACCTTGCCCACATGCAAGTCTTTCAAATGCCTGGAGGGGGCTTACTTGTCTTCTTTTGACTCTTTCTTCTCGATTTCTAAAATGTACACTTCTATGAACAAGGGTGTATTATTTCCAAATATTTAACTACCTTATCTTTCCGTTAGTACCATCTAAGGCAGGGATTGGGAAACATTTTTGGTAAAGGTCCAGATACTAAATATTTTCAACTTTGCAGGCCATGAGGTCTTTTTCCATTATTTAACTCTGCCATAGTAATACAAAAGCAGCCACAAATAACAGGGAAATGAACAGCCATGGCCAGATTTGGCCCAAGGCCCTGTACTAAGTTGTTTACTAGTGCCCTAATACTTGATGCCCAGAAACTAAAGTTTAGTGTTTAAAAGCTGGGCTTGGGAGACAAACAGATCTGATTTCAAATTTTGGTTCCATCATTAACTAGATGTGTGATCTTGGCAAGTTTTTAAACTTTTCTGTCTCAATTTCTTAATCTATGAGGTTAGATTTTTAGTTATAGTTCCAATTTCAGAGGGTTATTATAAAGACAAATGGTTTGATGCACATAAAGTCCTCAGCACAATGCTTGTAACATAGCAAGTATTCAACTTGCATTAGATATCATCATCATCATCACTGCCATCATCAATATCACCATAATTGGTTGAAAACAGTTCTCCAGATACGGCCTCTCCAGTTTTCCCTGTGATTCTTATCAGCTTGTTTAAAAATTGTACTTCACTTTTAATGACAAATATGTTGTAAGATATTTTCACATGTATCAGCATATTTAAATAACAGTTATGGAATACAATTTTATATAAAAATTTATATATCAATTTGAAAATATAATAAACCTCTGCTATAAAGTACTTTGATATATCATACAGTCTATTATAATAGAGGTCAAATCACAGCTTTTGTGCATTTGGTAATGCATATGGCACCCCTCCCAGCACCCCCAGAGTCTGCAATATGGTGGCCATACTTTCCTTTTAATACAAGCATTATATATCAAAGCTACTGAATGAAATTGAATGGTTCTATTCAATCACTTTTTCTGCTTCTTTCACTCTTTCAAGTAACTAGAAAAGAGCAAACGAATAAAAACCAACCTGATACACAGGGAAAGCAAAAAGACTTGAATACCACCCTCTGACCTTGGGATTGGTGAAATCCAAGTAAGAGGAGAGACCTGTGGAGGCAGAACAATAGGCAGCCCGTTAGGAACAGTGGCCCTCACAGTAAGATGCGTTATAAAGTAGATATCAGATGTGAGAGCTAGGAAATAGGCACCTTACATAAACATAAAAGATGGCTGACAGAGGAGTGGTCTGTTGAGAGGTGCAAAAGGCAATGCTGGGCTCCAGTGACAATCACTAGACTTTTCAACACCAGAGGCCCAGGGAAATGTACAAGCATCATGATGGAGCCTGTCCCTCACTGATGGCCTAAGATAGCCCAAGTAAGGATGGCAAATATTCTGCAGTAATCTCTTGATTCTTTTCTTTTTTTTTTAAAGATGGGGTTTCACCATGACGGCCAGGCTGGTCTTGAACTCCTTACCTCAGGTGATCCACCCGCCTCGGCCTCCCAAAGTGCTAGGATTACAGGCATGAGCCACCACGCCTGGCCGATCTCTTGATTCTTAAAGAGAACGGAGAATTGTGTTCAAGTGGTGTAAGGGAAAAAAAGAAAGGCACAGAGTTTCTCTACAGTACATGGATTTATAATAGAGTGCTATGATATGTGATGATTTTCGTTTTGTCCTTGGGGACTTTCTACCAAGGCTTTAAATTAATAATTTTTAATAACTTTTGAAATAAAGAATCCATAGTCACCAGGGTGGCTGAGGTCACTCATGTAAGGCTGGGAAGTCAAAACTATGGGTTAAAAGGGTGAAGAGCAATCACAGGGAGAGAACTTGCAGGATCCCCTTTTTTTCTTTCTCCTTCCTCCTCCTCTTTTCTCATTCCCCAAATTTTTATCTCTATTTGGTTACAAAAAAAGCATGTCACTGAGGTTTGGTTATTTTTCATTCACTCATTCAATTATTGATAAATACATAAAATTGCAGTACCAGGTGTTACGAAAGATGCAAAAGAAGGCAATACTATCTCTTCCTTAAATTAGATGCTTAAAATATAGCTAGAGGAGTAAGAGACATCTACAAGGGAGCAGACAGATGATCATGTACCCTTCTTAATCGGTATTGAACAAGCAGAAATAATAAGTGTATAAAGTGATTTCATACCAGGCCAGCACACCCCTTCAAAGTCTTCCCCTTCCTGATTCCTCACAAAGAAGCCCTGATCTTTGGCCTTCACATATACTGAGTAGTCAGGATCAATCTTGATGTGGGGATCACTGATGACCACAAGCTGTCAGGACATAAAGATTTAGAGGTCTCATCAGTTTTATGTAAGACAAGTATTCAATTACATGTTTTCACCACAGTTTGGGGGTTCAATTTTTACAAACAACTACAACTAGTATTGAAATATTTCAGACACAAAAATAAAAACAAAAAAGAGAAATATTTCAGATACCAGTAAAACCCTATAACCCTTCACGTGCTTATGAGATGTTCAATTAATATCAAAACCAAGCCAATGTTGGTCAGGTGCAGGAGCTCACACCTGTAGTCCCAGCACATTGGGAGGCCAAGGTAGGACGATTGCTTAAGGCCAGGAGTTTGAGACCAGCCTGGGCAACATAGTGGAACCTCACCTCTATAAAAAAAAATTTAAAAATTAGCTGGGTGTGGTGGTATCCACCTGTGGATCCAGCTACTCAGGAGGCTAAGGTGGGAGGATCGTTTGAGCCAGGGAGGTCACTGCTGTGGTGAGCCGTGATCATGTCACTGCAGTCTAACCTGGGTGACAGAGCAAGACCTCATCTCTAAAAAAGAAAAAAACAAAAACAAAAACAAAACAGGCCAATGCTCTTTTAAAATTATTGCTGCCTAACCAATACATGTTCTTTAAATAGCATTGATTAAGTCTCTATCGATCCATGATGCTGGGTGCTGGATATTATACATAGAGAACTAAGTTGGCAGGGTACCTGCTCCCTGGACATTTAGATGCTTAGATAACAGTGATATAAATAAACATTAACGAAACCAAGAGAATAACACATTAAAATCAAACAAAGTCCCCAAGCCCAGTGGTGGAGGCATATTAGGAAGGAGATTTGAGAAAAGCTATAAGCCACAGCATTGTAACTCTAGCATCTCTCCCTGCCTTTCTAAAGTCATACATACATAAATATTCATACTTCCACCAGTCTAGGCCCTCAAAAACACTTTATTTGGCTACAGCACCATCTAATCACCCTTCCTCATCTCTATTCTGATCTGTCCTCAATGCTAAAGTTTAATTCTTCATTGCTCAAAAATTTTCTTAAATTTTTATTTGTTTGTTTGAGACAGTCTCACTCTGTCGCTCAGGCTGGAGTGTAGTGCTGCGATCTCAGATCACTGCAACCTCTGCCTCCCGGGTTCAAGTGTTTCTCCTGCCTCAGCCTCCTGCGTAGCAGGGATCATAGGTGCCCACTACCATGCCCAGCTAATTTTTTTTTGTATTTTTAGTGGAGATGGGGTTTCACCATGTTGGCCAGGCTGAGTTTGAACACCTGACCTCAGGTGATTCCCCCCTCCCTGGCCTCCCAAAGTGCTGGGATTACAAGCATGAGCCACCATGCCCAGCCTAAAATTTTAAACTGTGGTAAAATACACATGACAAAAAATTTACCATCTTAACCATTTTTAAGTGTGGAGTTTAGTACTGTTAAGTATGTACATTCACAATGTTGTACTCAATCTCCAGTACTCTCTCATGTTGCAAAACTAAAACTAAACCTCTATACCCATTAAATAATGATGTCTCATTCCCTCCTCCTAGCCCCAGCAAACACTATTCTATAATACTTTCTGTCTTTATGAGTCTAACTACTCTAATTACTTTAAATTAGTGGAATCATACAGTGTTTGTCTTTTTGCAACAGGCTTATTTCACTTAGCATATATCATCAAGGTTCATCCATGCTGTAGTATCTATTAGAATTTCCTTCCCTTTAAAGCCTGAATAACATTCTGTTGAATGTATACACCATATTTTGTTTACATATTAATTTTTTAACAGAGTTGCAACCCAAGCAACTTGGGTTGCTTTGACCTTTTGGCTACTGTGACTAATGCTGCTATAAACATGGGTGTATAAATATCTGTTTGGGTTCCTGCTTCCAATTCCTTTGGGTATATTAAGTGGAACTGCTAGATCATATAGTAATTCCATTTAAAAATTTTTGAGGAACTGTCATACTGTTTTCCATAACAGCTACACCATTTTGCCTTCCTATCAACAGTACACAAGGATTGCAATTTCTCTACATCCTTGCCAACACCTGTGTGTGTATTTTTTTTTTTAAATAGCCATCATCTTAATGATGTAAAACGGTATTTCATTGTGGTCTCCATTTGCATTTTCCTAATGATTACTGGCATTGAGCATCTTTTCTTGTGCTCGTTGGCTATTTGTATATCTTATTTGGAGAGATATCTATTCAAGTTCTTTGCCCATTCTGTTTTTTTGTTGCTAAGTTGTAGGAGTTTATCATGTATTCTGGATTATTAACCCCTAATTCAAAAACTTGTAATGTCTTCAAATGTATACAAAGCAGATTACAAAAGGGTTCCAGCCTTTCTGGTCAGATCCTCCACTACTAGAACCCACATATGCCTTACTCACCTGTCAAACTTGCCTGTATACTGCTTTCCAAACACCCCTAATGCTCCTTCCTCTGGCTGCACTGCCCTCCTCTCTCTCCCAGCTTACCCATTAGTTAGGGATATTCTTTAGGGCTCATCTAAAATGCATTTCTAGGCCAGGCATGGAGGCTCACGCCTGTAACTCCAGCACTTTGGAGGGCTGAGTTGGATGGATCTCTTGAGGTCAGGAGTTCATCCCTAATTTGAAAATCCAACATGATGAAACCCTATCTCTACTAAAAATATAAAAATTAGCTGGGTATGGTGGTGCATGCCTGTAATTCTAGCTACTCAGGAGGCTGAAGCAGGAGAACTATATGAACCCATGAGGCAGAGGATGCAGTGAGCCGAGATTGCACTACAGCACTCCAGCCTGGGCGAAAGAGTGAGACTCCATCTTGGAAAAAACAAATAAATAAATAAAATAAAATGCACCTCTGGAACCAAGCCCTGCTTAAGTCTTGAGGATATGATCTTCTCTTTCTTGGCCTGTCCCCTACCCTGACCTTTCTTTGGCTCTCATGTTACTTCCCTGTATTGTGGTTGGATACTTGTCTTTTCCTCAGTCACTGTAAGACCACATCTTTTCATTATTGCTATTACCACCACTAATACTCCCGGAACTGGAAAGCAGCATTATGCATGTTCCAGTGGCTTCTCTGCCTCCCCATTTTCTATTTCTGTTCTTTTCTTGGCCAGATTGACAGGTGGAGTCCATCAGGGAAGTATGCAGGAAAAATAGTGTAATAAAGAATTTGATACCATATTTGATATTTGACTGTTAAGCGTTTTCAAGCCCTGCCACTCCCCACTTACCTTTCTGGCCATATCTGGGCAAGCTGACAAAGAAAGCTCTAGTGCTCCCTCTTTTGGTGCCAGCCAGGGGTTCAAACTATCTAAGCCTCAGCCTGTATGCAAGAGCCCTTGCCCTGTCCCCACCCGCTAACCACCATAAAAACTGAGCCGATCTCCTTTCCCAGTTCTCTCAATCAATTTTCAAACCAGCTTGGGAGCCAGCCCTGTTCTCCCCAGAAAGCCTCATTATATGAGTAATAAACTTTTTAATATACTCTTGGTGCATGTGTGGTGTCGAGACACGGAAACCAAATTTTGAGTGAGGGGGATCATACTAATACCAGGTGGCCAGAACAAACGGAACTGAAAATGCTAGACAGCTTCCTCATTATAGGGAGCTAGATAACTAAGCCAGGAATGGATGGAGTCACCGCCTTTTCACCATTCATTTTCTCTCTTAACACAGTGACAGTTACATTTGAATCTACTATTTTCATAGCAATTTTAAAAAAAATCAGATGTTTCTCCACCATTGATATGCCAAGGCAAGTTTAAAACATTTTTCAAAGCTCTGTAATTAAAAGGTTCAGAAATGTTGGCTTATTTTACCTTACGCTTTTTGCTCCTGAGCAGCTCTTGCATCTTCTTGGGGTTGGGGAATCTTTTTTGGTCCCAGGTGAAGTACCTCTTGCCCTCAGTGTGCTCTATGTCCAGCCACATGGCATCATAAGGAATGTCATGCTCATCAAACCCTGCATCCACTGCTTTTACATCCTGCTCATCTTCATAATTCCAGCGGCACTGGTGGTAGCCCAAAGAGAAAAGAGGGGGCATGGCTTGTGTGCCTAAAAAAAGAAGATGACAATTGAGTCAACTGCCACCACAATGATCATTATTCATTTGATAAATATTTCCTCAATGTCTACAGAGTATTCAGTACTGAGTTCATGCTTAGAATATCAAGGAGAAGAAAGCATAGTCCTTGCCTTCAAGGAAGTGACAACCTGGCTAATGAGGCAGGAGTGTAAATAAACTGTCTTGTCCTGAGGTATAACTTCCAGGTTAACTTGTCAGTCTAGTGCTACCAGAACACAGAGAGGTTAATAAATTCTGCCTGCGGTGAAGTATGGGAACTTGAAAGGCTTCAAAGAGGAGAAAACACCTGGTTTGGAACTTGTAGACTAAGTAGGAATATACTAGACAGGGAGAATAGATAGAGCATTCTGGACACAGGGAATAGAAAAAACACAGGCAGAGAAGTACATGACAGGCTTAGAGAAAAACAAATATTCCAGGGTATCACAGTGTGAGAGAGACCAGTAGAAGATGACAATGTATAGGGTTAGATTGTCAAGGGCCCTGTAAATTGAGGTTAGGAATTCTGAATCTTATCTTACGAGAAGTCATCAAAAGTTTGGCAAGATTTAATCTTAGCAGACCTATATTTTAGAAAAATTAAGTCAGGGTGCAGCATTAGGACTCAGCTGAAGGGAAAGAGACTGAACTTGGGAAAAAGTTTCAGTAAATTATTATCAAAATGTTTACTGATAACATGAAGGACTTCTGGTTAACCACTTGCATGTGTCTCCTTCCCCTCCTAAATTCACACTAAAATCTGGGTAAAGAAAAGAAAAAAATGAAGAAAGCCATAAAAACAAAGATAATGAGAATGGAATAATCTCACCAAAAATTTGGCAAGTGGTAGGCAGGGGAGGGGTGGTAACTGTTGAGCAAAGTCAGGAAAGCTCTCTCCAGAGTGCTATTGAGGAAGATACTGATGAAGAGCTCACCCCACTCCCAAACACTAGCAGACATGCCCACCCTCAAAACTAGAGTGGAAGACTCCCCCAGGCACACAGAGCCACCATGAAATATGAATGGAGGCCAGGTGTGGTGGCTCATTCCTGTAATCCCAGCAATTTGGGAGGCCGGGGCGGGTGGATCACTTGAAGTCAGGAGTTTGAGACCAGCCTGGCCAACATGGTGAAACCCTGTCTCTACTAAAAATACAAAATTTATGCAGGTGTGGTGGTGGGCAACTGTAATCCCAGCTATTTGGGAAGCTGAGGCAGAAGAATCGCTTGAACCCAGAAGGCAGAGGTTGCAGTGAGCTGAGATAGCACCACTGCACTCCAGCCTGGGCAAAAGAGTGAGACTCCAGCTCAAAGCCCACATTTGAGCAAAGTCTCCAAACTCAGAGACAGCAACCCAAATAAAGAAACAGCATAAAAGGATCTCTGAGAAAACAGGGGCAATACAAGGAACCAAAGTAAATATCAAAACATTATTACCAGTTATCTCTAGGGAGATGAAAAAAGATATTGTACTTAATACTAGGATAGCATAAAACAAGTGTAGGTTTAGTATCCCTAATTTGAAAAGCCAAAATCTGAAATGCTCTAAAATCTGAAACTTTTTTTTTTTTAAGATGGAGTCTCACTCTGTCACCCAGGCTGGAGTGCAGTGTCACAATCTTGGCTCACTGCAAACTCCGCCTATAGGTTCAAGTACTTTTCCTGCCTTGGCCTCCTGAGTAGCTGGGACTACAGGCATATGCCACTAGGCCCAGCTAATGTTTGTATTTTCAGTAGAGATGGGGTTTCACCATGTTGGCCAGGCTGGTCTCGAACTCATGACCTTAGGTGATTTGTCTACCTCCCAAAATGCTGAGACTACAGGTGTGAGCCACCACACCTGGCCTCTAAAATCTGGAACTTTTTGAACACCAGCATGACACTCAAAAGGAAATCCTGATTGAAGCATTTTGGGTTTTGGATTTTCAGATTAGATATACTCAGCCAGTAAGTTTCATGAAAATATTCAAAAATCAAAATAACCCAAAATCTGACACACTCTAGAGTCTCAGGCATGGAATACTCAACCTGTATACAATTTATGAAACAATACGTGCTATTTAATGCAGTGTGCTATTTTGAATTCCTCAGCAAGTTTTATAAGTGGGGTAAAAATACTTAGAAGATCTCAGTGCTTTGGAAGGCTGAAGCAGGAGGATGATTTGAGACTAGGAGTTCAAGACTAACCTGGGTAACATGGCAAGACCGCATCTCAACAAAATATTTAAAATAAACAGATAAAGAGAATTAGCTGGGCATGTGGCACATGACCACAGTCCCAGCTACTCAGGAGGCTGAAGCAGGAGGATCGTTTGAGCTCAGGAGTTACAGGCTGCACTGAGCCATGATCACGCCACTGTAGTCCAGGCTGGGCAACAGAGTGAGACCCTGTCTCTTAAAAACAAAAAACAAAAAACTTAGAGGCTCATCGGACTTGAAATTATACAGAGCATTATTGATCATGAGTCTGTCTGAGTGAAACAGGTTAAATAAATAATGTTACCAGCAAATTTGTTACTTGAAAAAAATAGGATGTACACATTTCATGATAATAAATGTTTTGCCACTGCTTTGCATAAAATGAAAACAAAAACCAAGGAACCATCAGAGGATAGAAAAGAGCTCTAAGAAAGCAGAAACATGATAGCCATAGATGAAAGGCCTAGAAAATACAATTGAGAATATTGCTCAAAAAGCAGACAAAAAAGGAAAAGAAGATTATAAAATCCGTAGAGCAGAAAGAGGAAAAGGAAGGAAAAAATTAATCTAAGGAATAATTCAAGACAGTTTCTCAGAACTGAAGGACACAATTTCTCAGAACTGAAGGACACAATTGAAGGGGTCCATATCTAATACCCAGAACAATAATTATTTTAAAAGACCTACAGCCAGGTGTGGAGGCTCACATCTGTAATCCTAGCACTTTGGGAGGCTGAGGTGGGAAGATCCCTTGAGCCCAGGATTTCAAGACCAGCCTGAGTAACCTAGTGATACCCTGCCTATACAAACAATGAAAAAATTAGCTGGGCATGGTGGCACATGCCTGTAAGTCCCATCAACTCAGGATTCTGAGGTCTGATGATCGCTTGAACCCAGGAATTCGAGGCTGTAGTAAACCATGATCACACTGATACACTCCAATCTAGGCACAGAGGGAAACCCTGATTCAAACAAACAAACAAAAGATCTCCATCAAGAGGTTTTATTATAAAATTTCAGAATATTGGAAATATGGAATGTCAGCAACAGAGAAGGTATTTCAGAGAGAAAAGACAGATTATATACAGAGGAACAAAGAAATAGAATTAAGAATGGTTTTGGAGCAAGAAAGTAGAAGACAATAACATAAATTCTGAGAGAAAGAATATTCAGTCTTGCCAGGCAAATTATCAATCAAGGTAAAGGTAGGAAAAAAGATGGTTTCACACTTGCAAGGAGGCAAAAAGAGTACCTCCAATGCAAACTTTCTTAGGAAACTACCAGAAGATGCTACAAATAAACAAATACAACAAGAGAATAAACCAGAAAAGAGAAAAACAGGGACCCGAGAAAGGAGGGATACAACACCAGAAAACAACAAAGGTAAGTTCTGAGATGAAAGCTGTGTAGGGAACCTAGAGAGCAATGGCGCAGATGGGAAGAGGAGGATGAAGAGCTCTGGCAGGGAAGAAAGTCTCCAGGGAAAGAAGTAGACTGGATAAAGTATCATCCTTGAGTATGTGAAAAATGTAAACACTTAATATTGATTTAACCAAAAGCTGTGATATAACTAGATTGGGTGAAAGACACAGGAGAGTATGGTGTATGATTGAGCTAAACCCTCAGCAGGAATCAATAAATAATCTTTAATGTCTTTGAACATGGCGGGAGATCCAGTATTTTTGAAGTGCTTTAGGATAAACCAGGATTCTCCCTAATAATAATGTTGAATGTAGCCGCAGGTGGGCTTTGATAGTACTTATTCCTGCATGGGTGTCCATATCCAAACTGTCATTCCTCCTGTCACAACTGGAATTGAACACCCTTGAACATGGGCTACACTGAGCTTGCTTTTCGCAACAGAACGCAGCAGAAATGATGCTGCATTACTTTTGTTTTTAACAGCTTTATTGAAATACCATGCAATTCACCCATCTAAAACACACAATTCAATGTGTGTTTTTATGGCATATTACATTATTAATTTTTTAAAACTGTGGCAAAATATGTAAAACAAAATTTGCCATTTTAACCATTTCCAAGTCCAATCCAGTGATACTAATTACATTCACCATGAAGTAGAAGCATTACCACTATTTCTAAAACCTTTACATCACCCCAAGCAGAAACTCTATAATCACTAAGCAGTAACTCCCCATCAATCACATCTCTCAGTCCCCTCTAATCTCTGTCTTGACAAATTTGCATATTGTAGCCACTTCATAGGAGTGGATCATATAATACTTGTCCTTTCATGTCTGTCTTGTTTCATTTTCCATATTTTCAAGGTTCATTCATGTTGCATGTACCTGAATTTCATTTCTTTTTATAGCTGAATAATATTCTATGTATATACCACATTTTGTTTATTTGTCCATCTTTCATGGGCACTTGGATTGTTTCCACTTTTTGGCTATCGAGAATAATGCTACAGTGATCATTGGCATACATGTATCTGTTGAGTCCCTGCTTTCAATTTCCTTGTGCATATACCTAGGAGTAGAATTGCTGGGTGTATCTGTTAGGGTTCTTCAGAGAACACAGGTCCTTCAGAGAAACAGAATTAATAGGATTTATACTGAATATATTTACAGATATTTATATATCTATAAATATGTATAAATACTCAGAGGGAGATACAAATATTGATTAATTTAAAATAAGTGGCCCCTGTGATTGTAGGGGCTGGCAAGTCTGAGTTTTGCAGGAGATACTGGCATACTAGAGAAGAGTTGATGTAGCAGCCTAAGCCTGAAGGCAAGCTGGAGACATTCCGTTTTCCCCAGGGACCT